AAATTGGAAGGACATGCTGAAATTGAAATTGATTGAATAGTTCAATAAAATCAGCTTAATGCACAAAAGCAAAAAGATTAGCTAGAGAAAAACAAAAAAAAAAAATCAGTAATTTGTTATCTGCTGGGGCCAATCTTGCTAGAGATTGAATTAGTTATAAACTGAAACTAGGCACTTGAAAGGAGCACCCTTATATTCACACAGTGCTGGAGCCTTTGGGGTGGAGCTGGGTGTGGATGGAAACCATCCTGAAGGTTTGGCAGATCAGATCTCTGGTTATTTCCATTTGGTGAACTTGGCAGTGTTGGCTTTATGGCTGGACTTGATCTTAAAGGTCTTTCCCAACCTAGATTGTTCTATGATTTCATATGTCCACGTTCTATACAACTTCCCACACCATTCTCCATGTCAAAATCCACTTTTGCTCTAAACACAATCGTTTTGTGGTCATCTGGTGGAAATCAGTGCGACTTTGGGGATGTCTCTGGGGTTCCCCCAGCAGCTCATTTCTGATGTGTACCCAGTGGCTGTCCTGAGATCCTCACCTGTCCCCAACCTGTGCATTCCCATCACGGTCCTGCCTGGTCACTCCATCCCTTTGAGATCTGCTGGAGTTCCCCACATTTGCTCACCTGGCTTGGACTGCCTGCACTTGCTGCACAAGTGCTGTGTTCCTTTGCCATCCTTCCCTCCTTTCCATCCTTCTACACCAGCTTCCTGTGGCTGGTACATTTGCACATTACAATAAATCCTGGCCATTTTCCTTCTCTTTTTTTGTATCGTATGATCTGATCAACATCTTTCTTTTAAACTTCTTCAATTTAGTGCTCTGAATTTGTGGGGCTTTTTTTTATTAACACTACAGAGCTCAGTGAATGCTGCTTTGTTAAATAAAACAACTCTGTTGTAAACCTGGGGTCTGTAAATATACACACAGAGATGTGTTTTTCTCATTTATGTGAAATCTGATTGCTGCTAGTTTTTTAAGTATCCTCCCCACTTCTATGATTTAAACCTTCTGTTATTTAAGCCAAAGTATTTGGCCTGTTAGGAAATACTTCCATCAGCCTCCCAGGTCATCTATAACAGAGAATAAGGAAGGAAAAGCTAAATATGAAAGAGAAATTACATTCACTAATAAGGACATTTCAGCTGTGTGCAGTGCTTGACAAATGGAGCAATGAAGAGAACCTTCTTGCATGAGGCAAAACAAGGGCTAACAATAGTTTCTCCCTCATGTTTTATTATACAAGATAGGAAGAGATAATGAAAGTGCATTTCCATAATATATTCCAGTTCCATGGTGCTGATGGATCTCTAAGTGTGATGTCTTGTCAATTTAGCAGGTCAATTAAAAGCCCTGGAATCGAGATAAAGCTAGAATGCAGATCTCTTATTCTGGCAACTCAGAAGAATTAAAGAACTGAGCCAGTTACAGCACTTGAAGGATGTTTATATGGGAATAAAGAGATGTAATTGACCTAATTCTTGCCCTTTGAAACTTCAGAGGACATTTGACATTTTACACATGCTGGTAGGATTGGCACCTTGAAGGAGCAGCCCTGGGTACCTGATCTGTGTTCTGCGAGTAGTTGGTCTTTCCTTGCATCGAAGTCCCTCCACTTGACTTCACAAAAAAGCTTTTCCAGCATAAAATTCTGCCTCCACTTTGTTTACACACCTTTGGGGCTCTCTGATGTGCCTCCTGCAGCCTGAAGGAGCAGGGCTGGATCCTTCCCTGGTCCCCATGCCTCCCTTTGCCCACTTTCCAGGAGAGGAGCTTTGCTTTCCTGTCTGCCTGTGAAGTGCTCTGTGAGCAAGACACATAATCAATAGTAAATTCTGCAGGTCTAAATGAAAATTTATTGTTGAGGCCAGTTGTAAAGATCAGGAGACTTCTCTTGATGCAGGCAGATATTCCTGAGTAAAGAGATCCCAGGAATATATGTACACATGCAACATCAGATGGCCTCTCCTATTTTATTCAGGTTTTTTTTCCCAGTTGCATTGACTTACAGTATCCTTTAGAACTTCACTGTGTGTGATTTTTATGGCTGGCTCTGTGAGGTTTTTTCCTTTGAGAGCTGTGTTCTAGGAGATGCTCAGGAATTTAAATTAGTTCTGCTGAACTGCTGTTTATTGCACAGAATTATTTTTTTTTCTTCCATACTGGACTTAAATTCTCCTTATTTACCAAGATTGTGTTAAGGATTGAACCAGGAAGAGCATTTTAATGCTTTTTGGGCATCAAACTGTGTGAGCAGAACGAGCTGGAGGGCCGCCAGGCAATGTTGATGTCAATTTTGGGGGTATAATGTTCTTAGCAATGTTTTCAGTGAAAACACATGAACAAAACTTTTACTGGTTTTCAGAAGACAAAAGCTAATGTTGCAGAAAATGCTTAAAAGTTGATAAAAATGTCAGCTTCAACCAGGGAATTTTGCCCCTAAGAATTTTGCTTTCCCATGAGACAGAGGATGTCCACCAATCTATGTAAAAATCACTTCAAAAACGATACAGAAAAATTAACTGATTTTTTTTTACTAAGATTTTTAATCCAATTAACTTCTTAGTCTGCTTAAAGACCATACTTGTATATGGAAAATAAACCAAGGTGTTTCACAGGGTGCACTTTTGTCTCTCATCTTTTCCTTCTCTTAATTTTTTTTTTCTTTTCCAGAAAGTTCAGCAGTACATAGTCATTGTTCAAGCAACAGATATGGAAGGAAATCTGAACTATGGTCTCTCCAACACGGCCACAGCGATCATTACAGTGACAGATGTCAATGACAACCCCCCTGAATTCACCACCAGCACTGTGAGTATCCACACAGCAGTGGGTGATGTGTGGGCACAATGGTTTTCATTCATGGATGTTGATATCTGCTGTCTCTTCGAGCTGGTTGGACAGATAGGAGGAACTTTGATGGATAAGTGTGAAATAAAGACTTTCAAGGGAGGAAAAGGAAAAAGGAAAAGACTGATTCATGAACCAGCAAAACTATTTGGTGACTGATTTGGCCAAGGTGCTGAAATAAGGTGGCAAACAGCCCATGTCTGATTGCACAAGAGGATGCAGTTGTTTCATAGCAATTGGCTGGAGATATATCAGAGTTATTAATACTTCTGAGTGAAATCCTGAGCAGTGAGAGGTATCTGGGGTTTATGGCTTGGATATGATTTCAAGAGGGCTGTAAGTACTCTAAATGGTAACAGGTAGCTGGTAAAATTTGTATTTCACTGATAGCTCTAACAGATGTATTTGTGTGTGCTGGCAGTAAATGTGTAGACATTCTTCAGTACATCTGGTTTTAATCAGTTAAAATTTTTTCTTATGTTTTATTGGCACAGTTTTCTTCTGTTCTGGTCTCATGTGTTCTAAGGTATTCCTGGAGGGCAAGGGGAAAAAAATAGAGATTGCAAATGGCAAATTTTTAGACCTGGTTAAGGTAAAAATGAAAATTTGGAAGGTGAAATGATGTGGTCAGGTTCATTCCAGCCTTCATAATCCACAGATGTAGAAAATCTGAAATGTGCATAGTCAATTTAGAAATCACAGAGCAGTGCATAGGTCTATATGCTAATAAATGAGAAATGTTTGTGTGCCCCTGTCTGTATTCATATGAGGGTCAACAAGGAGCAGTAAGTGATGTATCTTAAATGGACATCAAATCTTTATAAATACAGAAGGTCTAACTTCTTTGTGCTCAAGTCACTGAACATCCTTGGAGGAATGTTTTTATTATTTATATTATTCTGATTTTTCATTCCATCCTAAATGGTCTCTAAATATTTATTAGCATAGGACCAAAGTTTCCCCTTAGGTATACTCTTACAAACTGCAGATATGTCACAGAATTCAAGAAGTCATGCAGAGCCCAGTTTATGCCCCTGTGGACCCAAACTGGATTCATGTCAGTTCTGGAGTTTGGGTCCTTCCTCCCCATCCCCACTGGGAGCTGGGCTTGGGGCTGTGACATGCTCATCTCCCAAACAGCATTTTCTCACAAAGTGACTTGGACGTAGGTTCTAAGAAGAAAAAAGGCACTAAATTCCTCCTGAGTCTCAGCAAAACGGGCACCCAACATGTTTTCAGGTCTGGGCATAAATGCCCTGGCTGTGCTGCTGCTCCAGTGGACGTAACAGCACACGTGTGCTCTGTGTCCATCGTGCATGCTCCAGTCTCTCTGCTGTGACGTTGTGGTTAAAGATCTCCTTCAGTATGGTACAATTATGAAGAGCCATAAAAATACAGCACAGCTCTTGGGCTGTGTGGTCCTTCTCCTGCCAGGACAGAATTATTCTCTCTGGAAGGAGGTTTGTGTCTGTGGGGCTGCGGGACCTTGCACCACAGCACTGCCACCTCTCCCTGGTGTGTGGGGGGACTTTATTCTGCCAGGTAGATGCTTCCCTGCCCTCCATTTGAGTGAAAAAGGAATGACATCTAGTGGCCACGTCACTTCAGCACAGGTTCTTCACATGACCCAGGTGGTGGGGTCCTTGTCCCCAGATGCAAGACAGGAGGTGAGGTTTTGGGGAGCAGGGTGACTTGCACCAGCACATTGGTGCCTTCTGCAGCACAGCATCCCCTCCAGATGTGGTGTATTTTAATGGCTTTGCAAAGCACTTCTCAAAGCTGATGGAAGGTGGGATAATGGAAATTTTCTTTCAGGTAAATTCTGAGTATTTAATGTCTCGGTGTGTATTAAACCTGGAAGGAATAAAAGCCATCAAGAGAATTACCCACAGAATTGTGTTAAATGGATTAGAAAATGCTACTCTTCCTCTAAGCAGAGTTGATGTGTACCATTATTTCTCTAATTTCAATCACTGAAGAAAGAGTTTTGCAAGGGCCAAAGGGCTTTACACAGTGGCACATGGGACTTCCTATAAAGAGTTGAAAACCAAGGGTGTTTTACAATAATACTTTCTGATTCTATGGAAACAAATATCTTTGATATACTCCTGGGTATAGCCAGGCTGAATTTCATGTGAGTATGAAAGTATAATGTGTTTTTTCTCTTACTGGAAGAGGGAACAGCATCAGGCTGATGAGTTTCTTTAAGCCTAAACTGAATCTCCTCTCTGTCCTCAAACAGCCTGATCTGCATTTTAACACCTCTAAAAAAATAGCAAAAATCACTTTCCAGGAAATCTATAGGTCCTCAGAGAGTGAGAAAGCCCATGGTCTCTTTTAAGTCTGCAGACTGTTTGGAGAGATATTGTATATTTTTATTTTAAATAGTTGTATTGAGATGCTGCTGTAAAAACAAAAATAGACTGAATAACTGAAACTGTGGCTTGCTCTTGGCAAGCTGCCAGATGAGAGGAACTCAGGAGCTGTATTCATCCCAGACAGATACAAAGGCCCACCCTATAGCGTTCTTAAATTACCTGTCATTCAGCCAGGGTGGTTTTAGACTTAATCGTTTCTGGATGGGAATGTAGCTCAGGAGGACGCTGCACCACGCTGGTGTCACAGCTCATGTATTCAGCAGCAGGAATTAATGTTGCTGTGTAAAATTTAACAACAGGATGGGAGAGAGGAAAGCATCCACTGTGATGGTCAAGAGAGTCAGGGCACGTCTGCAGCCAGGCACAGGGGAGGGGGAGAGGCTCCGTGCGTGGACCACGTGCAAGTTCAGACAGCACAGCAATGCCAGAAGGGCACGTCCAGCAGAGCTGTGCTGGTGAATGGACATCCAAAATACCAGATGGGCTGGCATCAAAGTGTAGTGCTGGATGAGAAGTGGTAAAAGAGCAATCAAGTGACAGAGAAGATCCTTAAAGGTACAAAATGAAGATACCTCAGTAAAACTCCAGAATTCCTGGGCGCTTCCATGAAAACTGATGTCAGTGGGTTTCACATCCTTTGGTCCACCACGTGAAAGGCAGGGGAAGAAGGAGCCCCACCTTCTCAAGCAAAGGGTTCTGAAATTACATGGGAGGAAGGAAATCAGAGTCTCTGGATGAAATAATTTGGAACTCAAGTCTGCTGTTAACTCTAAGGCCAGTCTCACCAGCATGGCCAGTCCTGGCAGTCGTGAGGATTACCTGCATCAAGGTGCAAGGCACCGGGCACAGCAAGGACCAGGTGCCTCCTCTGGCCCACTCCAGCTCTTTCTTTGTGATGGTGAATGTTTTCTTGATCTGCAGTGCTACCTGTGCCTGAGCTGGAAAGCATCAGAGAGCAGCCAACAGTGGGGAAATGTCTCCTGAGAGACACCACTAGAGTGGAGCATCCCCTGAAACGCTGTAACTATCACAGCCAGCTGTTTGGGGCATTTTTAATGGTTTAATACAGGATTGTGACCCAGGGAATGCTCTTCTGGGACTTCAGCCTGTATATAGTGTTGTGTTCTTCGTGTGACATTGTTTCTTGCAATAATAAATAAACTCAGCCAAAGAGGAGAGGTAGCACTGGCTCCTCAAAGTGCCCAACCAGCCCATGCCCACAGGCTCTGGGTCAGATGCCATAGAAAAATGTATTTTAATCCCCCATGCCCAAGTTTTCTGTGACTCATTCTTTTCTGTGGAATTTTTGGTGGATTTTGCACCTGCCAAGTCACCAGCTGTTGTAAAATATTGACATTTTAACTGGACTGTGATACAAAGGCTTTGTAGGAATTTTTACTGGAAAACTGGCTCTCTTACTGTTGTAAAATGAAGGTATCACTGTGCCCTCCATTATCTGGAGTCCTTGTTACTTATAACAGGGTCATGTCTTCTGACACATCTTAATTATGGGGAAATTCCTCAGTCTGCCTTCAAATATTTATCTCCTGTGTGCAAGTGAGATGTGGTTTTTCCATATTAATATGGATCCATAGGCTCTGGTCAGATGCTCACCTGAGATACAGGGGATGCAGTGAAATTAGAGTTGGTGTTTCAGAGATTAAAAGTCAGCTGAGACAGAACAATGCTGGATAGTCTCAGGTGAGGTTTATGTAAGACTGAAGTATCTTTCTTGCTCACAGGGGGACCACCTTTAATTCCAGTGAAATCTTTACCTCCTCTCAGGCAGGCTGCCCTTTCCAGTCTGACCCATGATACTGTTAATAGCCATTCAAGGATTTCCACTCTATCAAAGAAAATGCATAATCAGAGGGGAGGAGAAGTGAAAGAAATCCATGCCTACACTTGACTCATACAAAGTCTATTTTTATCATATTCAATCAGGAACAATCAGGCACAGAGAGGAGACGCAGATGAATTTGCATGATCAGACTTCTGTGTCTGAAATGTTAATTAAAAGTTATTTTAAATTTGCCTACTGTGCAGAACTTGTTTTTATAGTAGCCCATGTAAGGAAAATATTATTTCACAGGGCTAAAGTGCTCATGATTACTTGAGTTTGTAGATTCTTGGGAAAACCAGCCTGGCAATCAACCTCTCAAAAAAAAAAAAAAATGGAGGGGAAGAAAGGGGAAAAAGAAACTGGGATATTCAAGTTCTTTAAGCTCCTGAGCCTTAGGAGGTCTTATTTTAAGCTACTTTAAAATTTCCCCTTTGTCACTTCTTTGAGAATTTTCTCTTCCAAAGCTGAATCTGCTGGAGTCTGTTTTAAAGAGGCAACTCTAGGACAGCATCCCCTTCCCTGCCTCGCTGGCTAATCCTGACACTGACGCCAGTTAGGAGCAGCTCCAAAGGTTTAGGACTGGACTACTGGGGATGGGTGGGTGATTCCCACTGACAGGGCAGTGCTGGCTTTTGCTGGCCTGGGAGATGTCACCTGGCCAAAGACTGGCTGAACTCAAAGTAGAGTTGCTGGTGTGGAGTAACCTGAATTCAGAGAGGCTGTGCTGGGGCAGGAGGGAC